ATTTGCCGCTCAATGTCTCTCTGTAATTGGAGCAACATCACTTTAAAGGTTCAGAGAGTACAGCATTTCTGGTGAAAAATCCCCACAACACGCGGTGAATGTTTTAAAGGGAAATCTATTAGTGATTTGCAGAGGGGCGGGAGCCGGCGGCGGGGAGGCGCGGGCTGGGCCAGCCGGGACTGGAGTGGGGGGCTCGCCGCGGGCCCCTACCCGCTGCCCCCCGCGCCCGCGCCCGCCTAGCGCCGGCCGCGCCCCCTCCCTCCCCGTTGCTCCCCCCTCCGTCTTGTTGTGACAGTTCCTGATACTGTTTATTGAGGTGCATGTCAGGTATAATTAGCAATCGATATGGAAAACGTTTCCTTGCACCCAGCACGCCTCTGACGTCAGAGCCGATTAGCGCTTCTTATTGGTCCCAAATTCCCCGGGCCGCGGCTAATTATCGGGAGCTTGATGTTGATAAAGTAAAGCGCCGAGTGCGGGCGAAGCATGTGTAGGGCTCCGGGTCCCTGTCTGTGCCGCCGCCGCCGCCACCCGCGCCTCCCGCCGCTGGCCCAACCCGGCCCCGGCCCGCGCCCCCGCGCCCCGCCGCCGGCCCCGCCGGCCCCCCGCGCGAGATGATGGACGGCCGCCTCCTGGAGCACCCGCATGCCCAGTTCGGGGGCTCGCTGGGCGGCGTGGTGGGCTTCCCCTACCCGCTGGGCCATCACCACGTGTACGAGCTGGCGGGACACCAGCTGCAGTCGGCCGCCGCCGCCGCCGCCGCCGCTTCGGTGCCCTTCTCCATTGACGGCCTGCTCAGCGGCTCGTGCGCCGCCGCCGCCGCTTCGGTGGTCAACCCCACGCCGCTACTGCCGGCGGCCTGCGGGGTAGGCGGCGACAGCCAGCCCTTCAAGCTGTCAGGTAGGCGCTGCGTGCGGCCAGTGGGCCGGGGGCCGGGGGGGAGGGGGAGCAGGGGACCTTCCGGGGCAGAGTTAGTTTCGGGTGGCTGCGGAATCGGCACTCCTGGGTCCTTCCCTCCGCTCGGCAAGAGGCTCGTGGCGGCCCTCTCGGTGGCCCCTGGCCCCAGGGCGGCTGGCGGGCAGCAGCGTGGGGATGCGGACCTGGCTCCCGCAGTGGCTGAGCCGTGCGGCGTCCTGTGCTCGCCTGCAGACTCGGGGGACCCAGACAAGGAGAGCCCGGGCTGCAAGCGGCGGCGCACCCGCACCAATTTCACCGGCTGGCAGCTGGAGGAGCTGGAGAAGGCGTTCAACGAAAGCCACTACCCCGATGTGTTCATGCGCGAGGCGCTGGCGCTGCGCCTAGATTTGGTCGAGTCCCGAGTTCAGGTAAAGACCCGCGTCCCTCCCGGAGCCCGCATCCCGCCGCTCGGCCTACCCCGCGCGGCCCGCCTTTGTTCTAGGTGGAGCCGCATCCCCGGTTCCGACCTGCCTAGCGCTCGCCGGCTGGGAGGTGGTGGTCGTGGTGGGTATTCTAGGGTTTTGCGTCTCTTGGGGAGGGAGGTGGGAGTTCCTAAAAGTGAGGCGGCTCCGGAGGGGCCGGCGGCCTCCCCAAAGTAGCGAGAACAGCAGCTGCGTCCCAACCGGGGAGCCGCGTGGTGGGTTCTGGCGACCTGGAGCAATGAGGTGTCCGCGGCTCGGGCGGGAGAGGCGGCAGGGTCGATTTGGAGGAGACGGGGAGAAGGCAGGCCCGCGCCTCCGCGCCCTCGGAGGCTCGTTCCCCAGCCCGGAGGGAACGCGTTCGTTTGTTTACCTTCTGCCTCTAAAATAGTCCGATGGAAACGTGTATTCACTCAACGTTTTGCAGGAGGGGGCGGCTTGAGAAAGGGGGGTGGAGACTTAAACAATTAACACATTGAGGGGGGAAAAATAGGTGTCTGAATCTTTAATACTCCCGTTACATCTTTTTTCTTTTTCTTTTCCTGTAATTTGGTTTTCATTCAGACTGCCAGTGGTATTCTCTTTAAAAATACAGCATCAGTTTGGTGGGTTAAAAATTCAAGATGAATTGTGCATAATTCGATGTTTCCCTGAAAGACGGAAATCTTTCTGGTGGTGAGTGAAGTGTGAAGCCGCGGGCACCGGCCTTGGAGGCAGAGCCTGCCTGCACCTCGGCTTTGTCTGAAAGGTGGCCCCCTGCTCCGGCCTCTGCTCCTGACCTCTTCTGTTTGTAAATCCTCTCCTGTGATTTGTGCTAAGTGCCTCAGTGAAGGCAGGACCTCTTCATTTCTCCCCTAACACATGACGAAGAATTCTTGGTGACAAGGCAGGCTAGTTTGCATCCCCCCAAAAAGTATTTGAAACGGTGGGGCGGGGGAGAAAGGGCAGTTACCACCTTGGAGAGGCTGCGACTTAATACCCACACTGTGGCTCAGACCAGGCTGCCTCGACCCCGCTGGGCCTGCTGTGGTGCCCGCTCTGTGGCCGAAACAAAGAATTCCAACGACTGCGATCTCTGGCGAGGGTAGTGTGCCTGACCCTCGGCTGGGTTTGTGCAGGGTCCAGGGCTGCTGTTCTCCCCGAGTCCTGCCATCTCCCAGGACAAGGCCTGCAGAGAGCGGAAGAGGCAGGACGGCCCAGGCCTCTCGGCCAGGCCTGGCAGCTGGCCTCCTGCCCCCACCCGGAAAGCCAGGCACAACTGGCTTGAGAGCACTGTTTTGGTGCCCTGGCTTGAAGCCTCCACTAAAAGGGTGTGTGTGAACGTGTGGGGCACGGGGGTGGGGGCTACTGAAGCTTCCCTCCCCCAGGTTGAGCTTGGCTTCCCAGGCCTTTCTAGAAGAAACATTCAGGTTTCCCTTCACGGGAAATGCCAAAATCTGGGCTTTGACTCAGTCTCCAGGGGGCCGAAGACAGGTGTGAAGGGCGGCTGAGCCCAGCCGCCTGGTGTCCTCGGGCCAGACGGTCAGCGCCAGGCCAGACGGGCTGCTTAGAACACGAGCTGGAGGAGCCAGGAGGGGCAAGGCGGGGCCCTGCTCTCTGCCTCTGCACCAGGAACTCGATGCCCTCGGTCAGGGGCCAGACTGGCCCTGCCCAACGAAGGGGCGGCTCCCAGTTCCCCGAGGTGAGAAACTCGAGTGGGAAGCTGGCCTAGAGACCCCCTCTACCTCCTTCTGGGTGGAAAAGATGCCCTTTGGATCCTGCAGCCTGAGTGCTGAAACCCAGCTCAGGGCCGGCCTGGCCACGTGGCTTGGCTCCCGCCCCCTGGCCCAGCCGAGGTCGTGCAGGCCCCTCCGTGGGGAATAGGGCGGCCTGCAGCCCGCCGCCTGATCATGCCTTCCTCTCCCCGCCCGGCTACTCTAGGTGTGGTTCCAAAACCGCCGGGCCAAGTGGAGGAAGAAGGAAAACACGAAGAAGGGCCCTGGGCGGCCGGCGCACAACTCGCACCCGACCACGTGCAGCGGCGAGCCCATGGACCCGGAGGAGATTGCGCGCAAGGAGCTGGAGAAGATGGAGAAGAAGAAGCGCAAGCACGAGAAGAAGCTGCTGAAGAGCCAGAGCCGCCATCTGCACTCGCCGGGGGGCCTGTCCCTGCACAGCGCACCCAGCTCCGACAGCGACAGCGGCGGCGGCGGCCTGTCCCCGGAGCCCCCGGAGCCGCCGCCTCCCGCTGCCGCGGCCAAAGGCCCTAGCGCGCACATTGCGGGCGCCGCCGGTTCCGCATCCGCGCCGCCGGGCGAGCCGCCCGCTCCGGGCACCTGTGACCCCGCCTTTTACCCGAGCCAAAGAAGCGGCGCCGGCCCGCAGCTGCGGCTAGGCCGCCCCGCGGACAAGGACGCGGCCCCGTGTGCGCCCGGGGCAGCAGCGGCAGAGCGCGGCGCCGCGGGCCTGCCCAAGGCCAGCCCGTTCAGCGTGGAGAGCCTGCTATCTGACTCGCCGCCGCGCCGGAAAGCCGCCCCGGCCAACGCCGCGGCCGCGGCCGCTGCCGCCGCCGCCGCTGCAGGGCTGGACTTCACCCCCGGGCTGCCGTGCGCGCCGCGGACCCTCATCGGCAAGGGCCACTTCCTGCTCTACCCCATCACGCAACCGCTGGGCTTCCTGGTGCCGCAGGCCGCGCTCAAGGGCGGTGCCGGTCCCGAGCCAGCGCCCAAGGACGCGCCGCCTGCGCCCGCCGCGCCGCCCGCGCCACCTGCTCAGGCCAGCTTCGGGGCCTTCCCGGGGCCCGGCGGAGCTCCTGACTCGGCCTTTGCGCGCCGCAGCCCAGACGCTGTCGCCTCCCCAGGGGCCCCGACCCCGGCGCCTTTCCGGGACCCGGCTGTGGCCGAGGGAGGCAACGGGGACAGCTCGGACGCGGGGGCCGCTTGCCCAGCGGCCCCGCCGCCACCACCACTCCCTCCGTCGCCCGGGCCTGGAACGCGGGCGCCCAGCCCCGCGGGGGAGCCGACCATTTGCGGTCCCCCCGAGCCAGGCGTCACGGCCGGACCCAGCGCCCTGGATGGCGAGGAGGTGGACATGGACTGAGGGCGCGGAGAACGGAGCTCAGTCGCACCGTGCCAGTGGCTCAGGCTCCGACTCACAACGAAATCAGGTGATCGGCTTAGAAATACTGCTTTTTCCTCTTCCTTCTGTCCCTCCCCACCTTTTTTTTAAAAAAAATAAAAACCACGCTGTGTCCATTTGAACCTAGGCAGCAACCGCAGGACTTGGGGTGAGACCCTACTCCTCTCCAGGGAGGGAAAAAAAAGAAAGACTAAACAAGAAAAAGAAAACTGATCCCCCCCAAAGCCCACAACAAGAATCCTCAGCCTTGTAAAATGCAAAAATGTCTAAGAATATTTATATATGTACCATTTTTGATAAATAAAGCTGGTCAAACGCAAGCTCTCAGGTCCATCTTTTTCAAATTTCCGAGTGCCCAGTCTGCCCCCCTCCCCTCTTTTTCCACTGCCGTCCTCCAGGGCGGGGCAGGGACGAGGTTCCTCACCTCCCCCGAGGTCTGCGCTTAATGCCTCCTTTTGTGTGCGTGTGTTTGTGTTTTCTGATTGAACAAATTTATGCATCCTCAGC